GCCGGTCGCTGCTTGCCAGATGTGGCACCCACACATCCTGGAAAGTGGCTGTTCGCTGTTGATTTCGACTGAATTTCTTTTCCATTCTCCGATGGGGGTTATCTTCTGCTTGCTGATAAGGACCCCAAAGGACGTTTCAGTGGCTGTGTCCTTGACTTTTTTTGGATCGATGTGCACTACTCGAGCATCTTTGTCCCCTGTGTTCACGCCATAGAGAAGTACATCTAGGAATTTTGCAGTCCTTGTTTGTGCTATCGAGTTCCTCTCGCTGGCGTCTGCTGGGCCTTGGCAGGTGGTTTGGATCTCAAAGTAGGTGACATGATTCATTGGCCGCATTTTGTTTTTGGCTATTTGGTTGGGATTGGTGCGAGGTGGCTTGTAGCTAGAGATTGGAGGACGCTCAATGGTTTTTGCGTCTTTGTTCTGAATCCTATCCCATTTGATGTTTTGCACATACAATTGCCAGTTGCTGCCATACCGATACTGTGTTGCCAGCCATAGTTGGCTAATGTTGGTTTCATCAATGGTGCCTGTGTTGCCCATGGGGGTGAAGTCCTTGCCGAAAACTGACGGGTTGGTGATGACCATTCTTCCCACGAAAATCACAAACGGTTTAAATTCTTTGTAGGCGGCCGAATCAGATTCTTTCGTGGGCAGAATCTCTCGTTTCTGTCTGCTCAGGTCGGGGAGGATCTCCTGCCATCGTAGAACGTCAGGGGGTGTTCTTTCCGAGGTGTATTGTATGAGCAGCTGAATGAACCGTTCGCATTGTTGAATCATGCCCATTTGGTTGTGTTGGTCCTTGTGTATGTTTGCTGTGAAGGGCTCCAGTGTGATCTGTTGTTTCTTGAACTGTTCCTGTAATTTGAACCATTGGGAAGTTGGCGGGTGGTTGAGTTCGAATTGGATTTTAGAATCGACTCCCCCCATTGACACCTTTTTCTTGGCGGTTGCCATGGCGGAACTTGTTGGGGTTTTGCTGGTGGTTGATGTGGCTTCGAAAATTTTGCCAGGGCTTCCGCGTAAGGGGCCTGTATTCCTTTTTTACGAGCAAATTGGGAGCTCCTTATTGGTGGGAGAGAACAGTTCATCACAGAGGTTACTGGTAGAAGGGCAGGTAGCTTTCTTCTTCTTCTTCTTCGACTTCTTTTTCCCTTTCTTGGTGGACGCGACTTTGTTCCACTGTTGGGCAATCTCGCCAGAAGCGTCTGCAACGATGTCGGACTCGACATGGAGGTTGGGACGGTGGCGAGGTTTGTGTTGCGTCATGGATGATCTGGGCATGGCACGAGTAACAAGTGAAGGCGTGGTACTAGTGTCGAACTCGTGATTGATGGATGATGCGACGCGTATCGTCCGTGAGTATCTTGAAGGTAAGGGCATGTCCAACGTGTTTGGCGAAGCCAACAAAGCGGCCTCGTATTTCAGAGTACTTTTGTTCCCCTGGCATGTTGGAGTAGTGTTTGCTGTGGTACCGTAGTACGTAGACAACATCCCAGAACATGAACGACAGTAGTATGCTGATGTCTTGTGTCTGTCCAGTGAGTACTTCCAGCGGTGTTCTCCATCCAATGGATTTCTCTGCGGTGAGGTTCATGACATCGCCGACCCATTCCAGGCACAGTAGTCAAGCTTCTTTGTCGACGTTGCAATGGTTCATGATCCACTGCAGGTTGCGTTTGGCATGTTTCCATCGGTGTTCCGCGAAGTTTTGATGTTGGTAGTTACGTTCGCTCTGCCAAGAATCGATGCAGAGTGCGCGCAAAAGTTCTTTGACACGGTCTGAGATTTCCAATGCTGCACTGTCGGAGATAAGCGTGTCCATTGCTCCCCTTATTCGGATGACGTCCTCCAAGGTGTTGACAAACTGTGAGGAGGTAGACATCCCGAATACATCGATGACAAGCGATTTCCGACCAACGAAAATCTGTGCATACTTATGTCCACAATAAATGGCAGGAACGGCACCAGTAATGGTGTCGGTAGCGACAGGTTCGTTTCTGCGCCACACATTATGTGCCGGAAAAGGAGAACGAATAGTCTGCAGAATGAGATGTCCTGACATGACGTTCTAAGCGTTCTGTGTTGTGGTTTCGAAGGTACGACGTATCTTGTCCACAGGTACATGGAGAAAGAACGGGAGGTACTGAGAGTAATCAATACGTTTGGGTGCAACTTCAACAGGAGGGATGACAATGGTGGGGACGGTAGTCTCATCGGTGTTGGTAACATCGGCATCGAAGCATGCGTAGACCTGGTTGAGGTTCGACAAGATGCGGAAAGACTGAAGGAATTGTGTTCGATTGATACGGAGGGGATCCTCGTCAATAGGAGTATTGTGTTCAGGATTGATGTCCTGATGAGGGGTACGGTGACGATAAGATCCGGTAGAATCAAAGGAAGTCACAGGTGTGTCATCAGATTCCAACATGATGCGGTTGTACCAATCATCATGATCAGAATGACGGTAGTCAAGGACTTTAGGGTTCCATTGTGCTCCAGAAGTAAGAATGACGTGGGGAAGTTGCGTGAGTTCGTCGTCGGTAGGTGGGTGTATGCGGAGATACGGCAGTCCATTGACGAAGTCGAGCGGTAGAATGTAGCCATCATTGGTACGTATGCACTGACGGCCTCCAACGTGGAAGGATCGATCCTCCACCATGTTGTGGTAGTGTTCGAACTGGCCGGCAGAATGGATGGTGCGGTTGACTCCATGATAAGCATACTGGCGAAAGATACCAATGACAGGACCCTTCTGAGTGGTGAGTTTGGCAGCGCCATCAACAATCTTGAGACCATTGATCTCGTGATTGTCAATTCCCGTGACATCAACTTGCCGTTGATGAGTAACGGTGACGCGAGCATCCGAACCAAGGATGCCACCATTTGCACTGCGATCCATGAGCGAACCTCGATCATTCTTGCGGACAATGTTGGTATTCACGGTGTAGCGGTAAATGGCGCGGGGTTGACCATAAGGAACGGAAGACACTGCCGTAGTGGCCTGGTCATGTGTCCCGATGTATATTTCATTTGCCCTTTGTGAGATGGCCTGCAGAGCCATACAAGGAGTGCGGTTCCGGCCTATGCAAAATCCTGCGTAGGAGAGGGTTTGGAGTTGGAACCCTCAGAAGATGTGGGAGAAGAGGACGAAGAGTCAGATTCCTTATTGGTGGGAGAGAACAGTTCGGCACAGATGTTACTGGTAGAAGGGCAGGTAGCTTTCTTCTTCTTCTTCTTCGACTTCTTTTTCCCTTTCTTGGTGGACGCGACTTTGTTCCACTGTTGGGCAATCTCGCCAGAAGCGTCTGCAACGATGTCGGACTCGACATGGAGGTTGGGACGGTGGCGAGGTTTGTGTTGCGTCATGGATGATCTGGGCATGGCACGAGTAACAAGTGAAGGCGTGGTACTAGTGGCGGGGATCATGTAGTCGAGGATGAAGTCGTCATCAGCGGCATCCGGTTGCGTATTCGCAATCTTGGGAGTCGCGGGAGGAGAACTGGATAGCTCGACAGGAGATATGTCGGCCGTGGTCTCAAAAGAGTTGACCGAGGCAACCGCCGTGGTCTCAAAAGAGTTGACCGAGGCAATCGTCAATATCTGGACTTCGGGCGGAGATTTCGCAGCAGGCTTGTCTGGAGAAATGTCATGAACTGAATCAGCAGTATTGACAGGTTTCGCGCGGAGCTTCAATGCTGCCTGTTCAGCCAGTGCTTCTTGGAGGATAGTACGGTTGCTGCGAATCGCAGCATCAAAGGCATCGTCTTCATCATCCGTGGCAGAATAGAGGCGAGACGCGCGGGGTGTCAGAGCGGGGACATCGCTCGCGATGTATTCATCGTCGTATTCGTGGTCGCTGAGAAATTCCTCGATGTCGGGTCCGTCGTCATTTTCGGCAGATGGCTGTACAGAAGGTGGAGACTTCAGGTTTGAAGGTATCGTGGGCTCCAAGGAACGTTCATCATTAGTTGAGAAGCGCTGTTCATCACCGGAGGGATATGCGTCGGGATCACTGAGGATGGTAGTCGCATCCGCAGCGGTGTCGAGTTGCGCCGAGAGTCGCTGCTTCATGGGAACAGGGACTTGTACTTGGTGAAATGGAGGGTTCATGTGAGTACGGATGGCATCAGTGCCAGCAGGTGAGGGTTCGGTAGTCGTAGTCACTAGCTGGGGGTTCACGGAAGCTGTCTGTGGTGTTGGAGGTGCACTCCGGGTACCTTGGTACTGGGGCGACATCGGGTCGAACGGAGCCAAGGTCGGGGATCCGAATGCGTTGCGATCAAATGGAATGGACTCATTCCAGTAATCGGTGTCAAGCTTCAAGGATAGCTGTGATGCAGCATCGTCTTCACTATCAGTTTTGAATCCGTCATCAATGTCATCGGCATGCATCTCATGAGAGTATGATTGGTATGCCGATCGGTCAATTTCGTCAAGTTCATGGTATCGTACTTCATTGCTAAAGGAAACGTTGCGAGACGAAGGTTGAGATAGAACATTAGCAATGTTGCCTGACAGAAGGTCGGGTACCGTAGTTGAGTCTTGGGCAACATGTGTAGCAAGATGCAAAAGATCCGTGTCCGAAGTTACTTTGTTCTTCTTCTCATCCAAGGTGTGAGACAAAACTTGTAGGGCTGGCTTATCGTCATGATCGGGTTCAAAGATCCGTGACTCCTCGATGACGTCATGGACGTTGGCTGAGCGTGTGTCGCGTCGGAATCCAAAATTGCGTGAGCCAGATTGATTCGCTTGTGTGTTTCGTTTCGCACGATCAGCTGCGTATTCCAAGATATTCTTCTTGCCATCATCGGATAGTGTATCCCACGCTTTCTGGTCAGTAGGTGTGCGAGACTTCCACGTTGCCACATTCATCATGACTTTGCAAGGGCCTTGGGAAGGACGATCAAATGTAGAGTTGTGAGAACGGTCTGATTGATGGACCTCAAGTAGTTCATCGACGGTCGTGTCAAAGTCGTGTACATGAGATTCGTATCCATGGTTCTCATCGTCTTGTTCGAAGATGAGCTCATGATTGTATGAGCTTCGTCGTGAGTTTCCTCTGGATCGTGATGTACCAGAGTGAGCTGCGTCGTAGATAGCTGCAAGTGAGAGTAGGCTTGCAGTGTAATCCTCAAAAGTGTATGTGTCGGCATTCTTGGCTGCGGCACGTGCAAGCATATCCACGCGTCGTGCACCGGATAGGTTTGGGATGCCAGAGACAGCTTGCTCAAGAATTGTACGAGTTGCCCATCAGAGTACTTGTCGTGCACAGAGGTGTCGTTGTAGATTCGACCTTGTTCTTTGAAGTTCAGAATGAAGTTCTGTTGGCTTCCACGCCACGATCCGTCTGATAAATTGGCAGTAGTCAGATAGGTCGAGGTCTTGGAGGAACGAATGGTCGCCGTCATCGATGTCTTGTAGTGATTGGACATCTTTTCCCAGAATAGACGAGTTTCGCTGTCCTTAACGATTTTCCAGCTGCAGTCTTGATCGTGTCACAGAGTGTCTTGTACATCCATTCGCATTAGATGCGATCGAGCGACGGGTTCTCCGGCGTGTATCCTTTTTCGAGTAGGTGAGACAAACGGTGAGACTTTACAGTGAGTAGGAAATCTTCGCTCCACTTGTGCCAGTACGCTTCGTCACGGAACTCCTTGTAGTCGCTGCAAGAGATCTTGACCGTCTTGTTCCAGTATTCAATCTCTGCTTCGGCGGATACAGGAGCTCGTGTCGTGAGCCACGGGACAACTTCCGCTGATGGATGCCATCGTCCAATGCGGAATCGTTGGAAGTTAGTGAAACTGATTGACGTGATGTTGATGGATTTGGTTTGCTCTCGACAGAAGTGATGAAAGCAGCAAATCGCAGCAAGGAGTTGTCGCCGTTGACTGAATCCAAGAGGGTGTCCGGCAACGGTTCCAGCGGCTGGAACCACGAGAGACTCAATGTCTTTGCGTTCCATCATCATGAGGTCCGAGAAAGTATCGACTCCAAAGCGAGTGAGGGCAAGCATGACATCGTGAGTTTCCCGGTTGGTTTCGTCATTGTTGAGCATGATGGTCACGACATGCTTGAGCTTGTCGCGATCAACGGTTCGACGGGCAGCGGCGGACATGATTGTGCAGTTGCGTAGGGACGTAACTGCGACTGTTAATCTGCTGAAATCCTATTTCGTAAGTGATAATCTCCCTTCCTTGGGTTGGCGTCGTAGCGTGGTTAGCTTCGACTGGACCTTTGGAAGACGTGCAATGGCAAACAGTAAAAAAGAATATTATGAGCATTACGATCTATCAAGTCTAGCTAGCGTTCAATGGTCCTGTTGGATAGAGCTGGGTGAGAGCTTGTTGTGTGTATCCTTGGATCCTTCTAACTCCGTCTGGTTGAGGAGATAGGTTGATTTGAGTGGATTTGCCGTAGAGAATTCGAGAACGTAGTAGAGACGTGCGGGCCTGCCCAAATCCTATGGTACGTAATGAGGGATGGCTTGGATTTCTGTACTTAGTGTACTGATTCTCGTTGGCTGTGTACTTTTTCGCGTTGGCTGTTGGCTTGTTGTTGCGAGAAGTTGTTGCTTGCCCAGTTGTGGTTGATTTCAAATGAGGGAGAGCTTCAAAATCTCGTTCGCGCAAATCGGAGGCCGGCGTTCGATCGAATATCCTTGTTGCGGAGCAGGAGCGTTCCTCAATCGTGCATGAAACCGACCCTAAAATAGGGTCGGATTTAGGGTCGGATTCCCTTTAGGGTCGGGTTTCGAAACCGACCCTAAAAATAGGGACGTTTTCTGAAAAATAGGGACGGTTTCTGAAAAAACGTCCCTAATTTAGGGACGGGTTTCGATTTTGGGTCGGTTTGAAAAACGTCCTAAATAGAAACGGGACTGCCTGGTAAATACATTGCAAACGCACCAATATTAGGGTCGGGTTTCGAAACCAACCCTAAAAATAGGGACGTTTTCTGAAAAATAGGGACGGTTTCTGAAAAAACGTCCCTAATTTAGGGACGGGTTTCGATTTAGGGTCGGGTTTCGAAACCGTCCCTATTTAAGGACGGATTCCCCAAACCGACCCTAAATTAGGGTCGGATTTAAAGTCATGCACGATTGAGGAACGCTCCAGGAAGATAGTTTCTACCGATTCACTGTGGGTGGTGAGTAGTGTAGATACTGAGTTCGTGCTTGGCAAACGGGAAATCGAAAGGCTTGGTTACTTCGATCGGAATCAGTCAATCAGTTCGATCGATCGGCCGATAGAGGTGCAGAGGTACGACTCGGATCAACTGGAGTATGGGAACGGACTAGGACGTTGTTCTTGTTGTCGAGAATGGACTGAGCAGAAAGTAATTTGCTATGGCTGAGCAAAGGATTATCAGCTCGATTTCTTCTGAGCAAACAGAATGAATTCCTTGTCTTCCGATTCGGTCGTTCGTCTTGGAATGCCTGCTAGGATGCTCGTTGCGACTGACAGATGCAGTTCCTATTCTATTCCTATGGACAGGAGTTAGATCGGGGACTATTTCTTGGAGTGGCAAACAGCGTCTCGATGGGCGAAACAAGACAACTCGATACTTCGAATTTTCCTGTTGGTGTTTGTGGTCTTGGTGTTGATGGGTGATTGGCGTTTTGGATAATGACTCCTCTGTAGAAACAGTACCAGGGTATACGTGGGATGACTGGAATTCTCTGGAATGGCAATCACGTGCGTGGAATTGGTGGCTGAGGATATCTGTTGATCCAGAGCTCCGATTTGAGTGCTTCCAAGGGGGAACTTGCTTGTAATAGTGTAATAGTTAGCTTTATAATGATGGTGTTGCTTATAGTGTCTTTGTTGTTGTTGTTTATCTTTATTATCATCTTGGTTGACAGAATCAGTGGCGGGAGTCCTGTGAGTTGGCTCCCGCTTGAAAAAGTGGAAGAAATTGACCACAAGAAGAAGTCTCCGGTCTTCTGCAGTACCAGACGAGCACTTTTCCACGGGAAGCCGAAAACCGAAGCGCTTCCCCTCTGGATCTGTCACTACAAGAACAACAACACTAATAGCAACAAACACAACCAATCGGTCATACCTATACCATTACACTACCTATTAGCACCATTAGAAGCATTGAAACGAAGCGAAAGGACCTCAGGAAGCCTGTTTTCTGTTATCTTGTTGAAGAGTACTGTTTTACTATAGGATTCAACTCAACGTCATCACGGAAAACATACATCCTCTTTTCCTCTCTTTACAACCTATTCAAGCCGAAAAGGATCGATACCTCCTATCTCCTATCCAGCGCACCTCCTCTATCAAGCGACTATCAACGCGGCGTTCTCCGGTCCAGATTAGAAAGCCATCCCAATTGAAATCCTACGAGATCGGGCGGGTTTTCTATTCTCGACCGCCGACGGCCAAGTTGGAAGAAATTGAACACAAGAAGAAGTCTCCGGTCTTCTGCAGTTCCAGAATAGACGAGAAACACATACTCATTTGTTACTTTCTGTTCTCTCACTGTCGACGGCCCAAGAAATCCCATTGTCGGCCGATCCTTTTTCGAACGACCGAACAACAACAATAACAGGCTCCGGTTAACCTTACCCCTAAGGCAACTGAACCGAATTGAATCTTCGAATCGATTTCGAATCCTCTGAATTGAATCGGTTTTCGAATCGAACCGAATCCAAGACTCGCTCCTCCGTGAATGGATCTTCCCGCGAACGTACCTCTTCTTCGTACCTCCCGCGAACGTACCTCTTCCTCCGTACGGATCGAACGACAGCCTACTACTATCAAGAAGGACTTCAGGACTTCACGAGATACCTGCAGTGACCACCAAGAAGAGAATTACACCTGTATTCTTACTTTCTCACCGGCCACTAGTGGTTTCTCCCGACGTCCTTGTTGGAACTGATCCTACTGATCCAACCAGTCCTATCCCTATACAGACTGATTGACTGATCAACACCTGCTACTGTTACCACACCTCCATTGATATCTAACTCCTCCCCAAGAGGAACAACAAACAACAACAGAGTTCCTGTAAGGACTTGAGTTCAAGAGTACACCGGCTGCATAGAGCCCCCTGCAGTCAGTCGTCCTCCCTTTGTTTTCGTTTTCGTTTGTCGTGACAGGATTTTTGTGAGACTGACACATTTTCAAAAATCTCTCCCCCCCTTCCCCATCCACTTTTTCAAAAAATAGTTCATGCCAACGAGAATGATTGAATTTAATGCAAACGAACACAAACCTTCAGTATATAGAAACAGAATGACCCCCAACCAGCCCCCAGCCCCCAGTACTGCAACGACTATATTGATATCATACACGCAGGAAGTATGTACTAGAGAGCAAAGACGGCATGCTACCATGCATGCAGTTTAACGACTACATCCACAGTCCAAAATAAATGAGACATAAAATTGATTTCCTCCATTATGGTAAGGACTAAACCAACTGCAGGCAAAGTAGTCGACGGACAACATCCCAGATTCCGGAAAGCGCAAGCAAGGCGGGCCGCCAGGAAGGTCCCTCCTCCATTGAAGGTGTGTGTCAAAAGCGACAGCGCTATCACCCATGAACTGTGGCTCTACGAGAAATTCGAAGGTACCTGAAGTCAACCGATTTCCTAATCAGGAGACTGCCCTTTACGCGTCTTGTCCGAGACATAGCTTCTGGTATTAGAAAAGACATCAGGTTCAAGGGTCTGCAATGGAAGCTCTCCAGCAAGCATCAGAAGCCCATCTTGTGGACATCTTCCAATGTTCCAACCTTTGTGATATCCATGCCAAGAGAATCACCTTCATGCCAAAAGATATCCGGCTAGCCAGGAGGATACGAGGTGGAAGGTTTTAGTTACTATTCTAGACCTGAAAAATTTACGTATAAGATAACATGTGTTCTTCTTTTGTTGCCTTCTTGGTGCAGTACCCATATGTCTTTTTTCAGTGCAGCCTTGACTGTTTTTTGGTTTGCATGAGGGCGTAATTGTTTCTTTTCGTGTACTTTGTGAATGTGACAACTCCTCTTCTAGGACGGTTAAGCTGTGGTTATAAATATATATAGGTATACATATATAGATAGTAGTATACCTGGTCTGGGCAAGGATCGAATCATGCGCCTTCCATCCCTGTCATGCCAACTCGGGTCAAATACATTCTGCGGCCTGTTCGAACTCATTACTTAGCCAAAACTCTGGGAGTTCACTCTGCCCTTTCTGTAGAGTGAAACTACAGAGCAAATTCATTGTTTTGCAGCGTTTTTCGTTTCCAGTTGATCAATGCACAAAATTGTTAGGTAGAGGCCAACAAGCAGGCAGGAGAGGGGGTCAAATGACACACTGGCAGTGTGTGGTTCCCAGGAGGGAAGCACAGTGGCTGCTGGAGTGTTGTGGGTTGTTCGAGGGGTTGTTGAGTCAATAAAAGGAGGATAAGGGGGCAATGGAAGTGGGCTGGTGCCAGGGGCAGGAGGGGAGATCCTGTTTGGGTTGGAGTGTTTGTTTAGGAGTTGGGATGTAGCACGGTTGATGGTGTGTTGTAGGATAGAGCGTGCCTCTGTTCAAGGGTGAGAACAAAGGCATCCTCCCTGATAGGTTAGGTGTGATTCGGAAGGTGTGATCCTCAAGATGGCGCAGTGTCTAGAGCTGTTGGCTGATTCGGGAGTGTGTTGTGTTGTCGCAGAGGATGTGGAGTGGTTTTGGGTAGTGGGGGTGGGGGATGTCTGGGAGGCCTGGGTTTGAGGTATAGTGGGTAGACATGGGAAAGCATGGTGGGTGGTAGGTGGTTGGTTGGAGGGTTGTGTATCCTGGAGTATTGACTGTAGTGTCGTTGCTTCACGCAAGCAATGGAGGTTGCTTGTGAGGTGGAGAATGATTGATGTAGAAGGTGGTATTCAAGGGGCAATGCACTGAGGCACTGGTAATCAAGGTTTTTATCAAGTTGTTGGGTTGTTGTTGCCACTGGATCAAAGGCTGTGGCCAAGTCTTGTGCAGGTATACCACTACCTGCAGGAGAAGATGGTTCAGAGCCAAAGGCTGTTAGGGATTCTTTCAGGGAAAAATGGAGAAGTCACGCTATAGCCAGTAGAGGAGTGGTGGGGTATCAAGGGGTTTGTTGGGTGATGGGGCTGTGTTACTTGGATGACA